CACGTGCCCTGTCTGTAACACACCCCTGCAGACGGACAGAGCTCCAGCACTCACCCGGCGGGGCGCAGGTCCGGCAGCGCTCTGTCCAGCGGCAGGCGGTCACTCAGGAAGGCGTTGTAGCCGTAGTACTGGAACTGTTTGAGGGCCAGGCGCCGCTGCTCGGGGCTCAGCTCCTGTCCCCAGCGGGCGAACAGCGACGAGTCGGTGAACGCTTCCACGGCCTCGTCCTCCGCCTTCGCCGGAGCTTCTACAGAGACAAAAGGCAGCGCTTTCAGACAGGCTCTGTGGCCTCTGAGGGGTTTTATTTTACAAAGTTCCAGTGACTCCAGCTCCGCTCGCTGCTGTAACTCTTCCCATGATGTGCCCTCTCGTACCCGTGTATCAGCACCTAAGGCTCAAAATTTAATATTCAAATAAAGCTAGGTAGAAACAGCCCTTTTTAAATCCCAATCTCACTAAAGGCCAGGACTGATAAATCTAAATGAATTAAGTTTCGGAAGGAGCCCTATCAGAAAAGAATGTTATTTTGCTTTTATTTACTAAGATGAGCTATTTAATATCAGCCTCCATCATGTTGCTAGGACAAGACTAATGTTTTGAAGTRGGAAAACCAAACATCTATACATAATGAACAAAATGGATGCCAAACTCCATGTGTAAAACAAGTTCTTTAAAACTCCATATTCAACAGAGAGAAAATTCACTGTACTTGGCATCCATATTTAAATAGCAAACCAGTTTCAGTCATAAAATAACTTTATGGTCCAGTTTACCAATCCTTCCTATTTGAATTTTTARCCCATATTTAGGAGCAGGTGATGATGCTTCTGGGACCATCACTTTGTACTATTTGTGTCATTATGAAAGGTTTCCATTTCACAAGGCCACATCTCTGGCTGCTATGCCAAACAGAGAAGAGGGGGAAAGATAAACCCAGAAATCAATTTAAGAAGAGCTCCAGTACCACGAGATCACAGCATTCCCTCTCAGTGTTTAGTTGCTTAAAAGTCTGTTCGAGGTGATTTGAGAGCTCTCTGTGACAAACACATGACAGCTGACCCCCCAAACCCAGAGAGCCCATTGTTTCTGTAAACACTTTAAACCCACAGGACACCAGTAAAGCAAGATCACCCTACTTGACTCTGATTTGCCAAYATAAGCTAGAGCCTCACAAAGGAAAAATACCTTCTTTTTCTGGAAGTTCTCATTATTCTTCAACAGTCCCCACAGCCATTAGCAGGGAACCAAAAAAATAAAGAACTCTCCTTTCTGAAAAGCTGGGCTTACAAACACAGRGACTTAAGAAAATTAAAGTGAATCTTTTGAAAAACTGTCAATGTGTCCAACAGGCATGCCCAGGTGGAACAGGTGCCTCCCAAAAGGAAGAATGAACTGGAAATGATGCCAGGCTGTAGGAGGAAAGGCTTTGATCTGTGCTGCTCCGAGTGCCTGAGCCTTGGATTTCCCAGCCCAGAGAGGAAGGAGCAGGTCATGATTCCAGAGCGAAGTGCCTCGCCTGGACGTGCAAGCTGCACTCATCATGTGCATCTAAGCAGAGCATCATTAAAGACAAAAGAAACCTCAGCTCTCTGATGAGCTCTAATCGCCTCAGATTCCGGCTCCCAGCACTCAAAAAATCTATATTCCATTTCCTGCAGACAGCAGCCTTAGAGCTTTCAATGGACGGAAGGATCCTTTCATCCTTTTCCTCTACGGGTGCCTTCATCTGTTAAGCAATCCATACCCTCTCTACCCTCTTGCCAGAGGCTATTCCGTGTGACAGGTAAAAATCCCAGATTTGCTCTGGGTCACAGAGCCATCAGACAGTGTTCAGAAGTGTCAAAACTTCACCAAAACTTTGTCCCACAGCAAGATACACAGAGGAGGATCCCACTTAAAAAATCTATTGTAATTCACAAAAACACCTGATCAGCATCCTCAAAAATGACGATTTGACAATTCCTGTCTTGCAAGGCTGCTCCTGTGCAGGACACTGCTATAAATCCTGTATCAGACCAGTGAACYCCTAAATGAAAACATCCTTGTTTGCATGGCAGGGTAAAACACCGACAAGCAAAAGCTGAAGCAGTTCACCAAGGTGCACCACTGCATCAGCCCTGGAGAAAAGTGTACTCAGAAGACAAAAATGGAAAGTTATAGTAACAGATCTTCCCTCAAAAACTTATTTTACATATTCTCTTGTCTCCCCAAAAAGTCAAAATGGCAAGGTGTCAACATTAATACGGCTTTGTGTTGAAAAGTGAACTTTACTGTTTTCAATATTCAAGTTAAGTTAATTCCCCTTGGTATTCTAGTTTTGTTCCCAAAGAAATTACTTCAGCAGAAGTGCACCTAAGAAAATATGCAATATATAGGTGGGTTAAATTCTGCTACTACTAGGGCTTGCTTACAGCTTAGTAAGGCAGACTGAAGTTGCCAGGGTGCCTCAGAGAGACTGACAGAGCCTGTCAGACTCTGCACAGATGACAGGGAAACGGAGTCCTAATCTTAAGAAAAAAAATGAACCTGATCCAAACTACATTAAAAAAAAAATACTACATAAACAAAACCATGGCCTTGGTAAGGGCTCTGTATTTCTCCTGTATSCTCTCCAGCTGGGCTACTGTGATCTGAAAACACCATAAATCCTGGCCATTGTTGTTCCTACTAGACATGTTCTCACTGCCAGCCTATTAAATTCCCCTCTAGCCATAGCGGTGCCATGGATATGAATCAGCCTAGACAGATCCATGCATCATTCTGGCAAAGTTAACATAAAGTTACTAYGAGCCTAGACAACCTGAGAGCAGGGTAAAACCTTCTCATTTCCTGGGATGGGATTATCTAAGGAAATGTGTGTTTCCAACACAACCCATCTGCTCTCAGATGAAGACACACAACTCTCTGGCGGGCACCAGTACTGCATTTTAAGGCTTTCCATATCCATTGACACCAATATTTTGACAGAGATGAATTCTGTCTTCTCAAATGGGTAAAAGGCTGATTTTCAAAAAATGCATTATAAGGATAYTGGAGATTAAGGAGTACCAAATTCCAAGTCTTCAGACTTTCCAAAACACAATTTTAAGCTTGTCCAAAGCAATACCACTCTGCATTTCTCCTACTTGGAAACCAGATTTTAAGACAGCATYAGTTCTTTTAAAGCAAGGCATAATTCCTAAACTACAGGCCTCCAAGATAAAGGATGGTCAGAATAGTTATTTATTGGCTATAACTTTAAGGATTACCATTGCTTCATTTAAAAAYCCAAGTTTTTAACTGCAAAGTTCTTTTTATTATTTCAAATAATTATATACTTAAGGTACTGATTAAGTAATTATTAATAACATAATTAACCTCTAACAAACACACCACAATATTTGGAATAAGGGTCTAATAATACACTACTAATCTGCCAAAAACTGCCTGAAAATTAATTTGGTGACTTGATTCAGTCATGATACACAGATCTCAGCACTGCAAACTGCAGTGGAAGTGCCACAAACCAGCACTGGGACCCGTAATGGGAAGAGAAGAATGAGATGGACACAATTACCCCCCGAATTTTTCAGACAAGCATTGTGACAGCCTTGTTCCAGGTCATGGCTCTGGTTCGGAGCAATAAGCCCCCCTGCAATGCTGATTAGATCAGATTGTCAAGGAAAAGGCTAAACCAATTTAAACTCATCATCTCTGATCTGGGCAGTTTTGTGAGAATTACGGCACAGGCCTAACATGTTTCCTGTCCTGGATTAAAAAGACATCATGTTATCATCATACATAATGGCCATTCTTTTAATTATTTGGGATAATATTTTCAAAATGCCCAAGGAAGTTCACGATAGTGAGCACTGTTCAAATGAAAAGAGGGATGTACAAATTAAACCCCTGTTTTGCAAAACCAACCGTTTCTCGTTAGRTTAGTTGATTACACGGAGTATTTTTTCCAGGTTAAGAGTGGAAGACAACAGAAGTTGACAGATGAGAGACCAGTGTGCTCCAGGAAACAGAGGGGTGCCAGAAACTGAGATTGCTCCTGCTTGGTGCTCAGTAACCAAGCTGAATTTTTAATGATGWAATTTTTAATGATGACTTTCCTCACTTCCTTATCATCATGGAAGAAATAAGTGGAAACACAGAAGATTTACACATAAAGTGCAAAGGCAACAGAATAAACCAAGTCCCACAGCAGGGCTTGGGGTCTGAGGTCTCTCAAAGACACAGCACAGAGAGTTCCAGGGTGACAAAGAAGATAAAAAGGTTCAGAACATTCCACTGATTGTAACTGCACGTGCTCCTAAATTTAGGCATCTTCTAATGGGCTTACTAAAATAGGAAACTCATCTGCATTTAATGAATAGCAGACCACATTTTTCTTCAGGATTAGCAGAGTTTGCATCTGTGCAGCTGAGAGGATTTAAAAGCTCAGTGTGTTTTATATCATAAACCCAAATCTATGTCACCTGGAGGAAACATGAAAAGCACTTGACTGTTTTGAAAACTGTTTTGCCAGGAGCTGTCAGGCTGTGACATGGCTAATTAGTCATATAAATACAGCTTTTCCTTCTACACAGAACTGAGTGGTCCCACCAAAAGCAGAGTTCACAAACAGARACAGAAACGCACGCTCTTGTACAGTCATCCAACTCAAAGCACCAAAAATAGGCTTCTCCGTCCAGTAATCACACCAAATGAGATTTTTCTCTGCTTGCTGGGCTGTGCTGAGCTCCCCCAGATTAGTTCTACTTCAACTATTTCCATTCAGTTCTTTCAGAGCTCTGAAGAATCTTTTTTTGGCCACTTCTTCACAAACACAGAAGTTTTGAAGAGCAGTTTTCATGACATGCTTTTCACTTTTCCTAAGTGCTTCCAACATGAAACCTTGTAGGCTGCTTCCCCCCTTCCAGCACCATGTTCTCACCAGCACCTGGCTACACAAACACTTTGCTAAGTGGGCCTGTGCTTGAAAAAATACTTAAAATGTACTTTTCAAAAATTGCAGACATTATTGTACATTGGAACTACTTCACACTGGCTAGAATTTTCCTAAGCTAGCCCAAGAGATGAGTTTTAAATGAAACCTGAAGAATTATGAAGAGCAGGGCTATTTTGAAGAAGAACCAGCCTGCAATTGTGTAAAAGCTTCTCCTGCTCCCATTTGCCATTGCCCTTGTCACGCTTAAAGCACCGGGCACAGACAAATGCAGCAGCAGGGAGCAAGGACATTTCAAATGTTTGCAAACTACA